GCAGGTAGGCCATCCAGTTATTTTAGCCGGGCCGGCTAAAATGATTTTTCGTGCTTTTTACAGTATTACGGCTTCCACAGATGACATTTTGTTATGGATTTTTTGTCAAAGCACTTAAGATATTCATTGCTATCGGGATGTTAAGAGCATTCCATGGAATATAACAAAAAGTGTATCTCGAGCCGGTTTCTCAAACTTACCTACCCCACCTTTAATATTTGATTCTTTAAAACAGCCAGATCGATTCCAGTTAGTGGTAATGCCATTTTAGGAGTTTTAACCACACTATGATGCATATTTCATTGGGATAATTTTGTCAATCACATTTATTTTGGACATATATATCGTCCCATGCCTATTTTTCTATTACACAGCATGTGTTTTAATAACGAGATCAGGTATGGATTTCTAACAGGGAAAAATACCACTAAAAACAATATATTACCCAATTTCACTTGAGTGGAGGGATATTTGGGGTTAAAATAAAGACAGCTAAAATAATAACTAAATATAATCATTTAAAGCTGTTCTTATGATCACAGGAAGACGTTTTCAATAAGGCCTTTTCTATTCTCGTCCATGCGCTCTGTTAAATGTCAGCGAGGTCTGCCTCTCTGCCAGCAGGACTCCTCATAAAGCACCGCGAGCATTAAGGGCTTTGCCAGACGTTTGTTTGGACCGGTGTTGCACTCATTGTGGTCCCTCCAGTGACTCAGCAGACAGCCGGTTCCTTTAGTCCGCTCATGGTCTACGTCAGCGAGAAAACTCATTTGCATTTGTATTGAGTGAGAAGAAGGCGAAGGAAATAAAAACACTGTGCAAAGTTTTCAGGCCCCTCGGAGTGCCTGGTGCTCTACTGATGTGATGAAAGAGCTTTTCAGACCCTATGGGGACCCTAGCAAAAGCTTTCAGGAGGGGGACACAAGCCACAACAACAGCTTAACAGATATTTTTACTTTCAATTGAAATCTGAAGTGCGAATTTCGGTCAGTCCACCAATTCGTTCCAACAAAAATCAGATTGGTTGCCATGACATTTTCTACAGATATTCATTGTTACCAGAAGATGAATGCTTATGACTTTGACGATTCCCTGACTTCTCCTCTAGTTTCCACGGAGTATATTAGTTAACACATTCATGCACCCCTCAGGATGAACAGTCATGACAATTTAATGTATAATAGGGACACCATTTTAATCTGTCCAATATATTGGTTTATGACAAAATACCTCAAGGAGGAATTTGGTCAATTTGACCAGAGATGTACGATTCAGGTATTTTTAAGCTAAATCACCAATGTTGAGTTTATATTAAAGTGATGTCATATTTTAAAGGTAGAGTAGGTAAGAATGTAGAAACCAGCTCGAGTGCGCTAGAATTTGAAAGTACGCAGCCGAAATAAATCTGCCACTTCCTTACAGAGCCCCTCCTCCAACACACACGAACGCGCACATGACCAATGAGGGCACGAGATAAGTTTGTGCACGAGATGGAAGGCTGACAGGCAGGTAGGACATCCAGTTATCTGCCGCGGGCCGGGGTCTAGCTTTTTACAGCGCCACAGCTTCCACAGATGAAATATTTGTATATATTTATTGTCAAAGCATTTAATGTATTCATTGCTATCGGGATGTTAAGAGCATTCCATGGAATATAACAAGTGTTTCTGAAGTGAATTACCTACCCTACCTTTAAGTAATAAATCTTACTTGTTTATATCTTTTGAGAGAAATAAAGAAAGTAATTGTCTCCCCCCCCCAAAGAAAAACTTTGATTATGGGGTTGAAAAGCAATTTTTTTTAGACCTAGGTTTTGTATGCATTGCCACTTCACCTACATGATATTTACCCATGATTGGCTTAAGATGGTCACATGTCATTGAGTGTGTTTTAATACCCCGCGTCATGCCAGGTTTGTGTGTAAAATGGACTGCTGATAAAACAGTTGACTTTCAAATGAAGAGAGAGATCTCTACACGGACAGGCATGATTGACATTGATCCTGAACTACACGCACATTTTCTGATGTCCAGTAATCACTTTGATGCCAAATATGCCAGATGTTGTCTTCACAAAGGAGTACACAATTGTTTCTTCACTATGACAACCCCCCATTTCTAGAATAAGCTCCAGAAGTGAATCTCACGAGTGATTCCAAACCATGTCTGGATCACAGGGTGACATTTTCTCTCAGAGACAGGAAAAATGCATCCAGAGCTGGAAACGTTCGCTGCCACCAGACTGCCATTATTTATTCAATGTCAAGCTCCCAGCAGACGCAGTATAGATGTGAGAGAGTACGGGCGGGTTTTGAAAAAGGCATGCATGTCATGATAAATGGAGCCGTCCGAGACGTAGCTTCAAATGCTTTTAGGACTACTTCAAAGGGATTTGGTGCAGTCGAGCAGTGATGATAACATCTGTCTCAGCGGAGGCACATGACATATTTTCAAGCTGTGTGGAGAACTGGGTGTGCTCTATCGAGTCAGATGTTCAACCCATTGATCTGTGCCTATTGTGCTTCATGATGATGCGAGGTGTCAAAAACAACCTTTAGCTCCAGCGACGACAGTCAGTTTTACACCATTCATTTTCTTTTTGACACATCTCTGAGTTTGTTGCACATTCGTGTTTGCTGCTGAAATGAACAAGCAACACAGAACCACAGATTCAGCTCCGCTTTGATCAAAATTAGTGTCAGGAATGTTACACTTTGTTACACTAGTGATTCTACCAGCTATGCTTATCTTAATATGTCCCCACCTACAGTAGCTGCAGACCTTTATATTGTATAGATTGTTGCATAGCACTTCTGCATAGAATATAAAAACATGCTTGAAGTACTATAGGTTTATACACAGATATTTACGTATTAAGGCATAGTTAGAAATGGTATGGGCCTTTAAAGGAGGACGTGTTTTAAAAAAAAATGTATTTAGGGAATCGTTTCACAATTTTGGATATTAGCTTGTTTGCTAAGAGTTGAACAAAAACATAGATATTACCCCCGTTAATGAGCTAGAAGCAGGATAAAAGGGAGGTGGGTGGCGCAGTGGGTTGTGCGTTGGTGTTCGGATCAGGGGGTCACAGGTTCAAATCCCACTGCAGTCAGCATGTCGTTGTGTCCCTGGGCAAGACACTTCACCCCAAATGGCTCCTGTGGGGATTGTCCACAGTATTGAGTATGTAATGTAATAAAAGATAGCCTAGCTCACACCAAAGTAGAAAATAAACAAGCACCTCTTAACTTCATTAGTTGTGATATAATGTGTTGTTTCATATTTTTAATCCATACAAAAGAAGAAAGGTCATTTTAAAAGTGTTGTTTTTCGCATAGGTAACATAGCTACCCGGCCTTGTTTTTTATGCTAGTCTGGCAACAGCAGTGTACTTATAGCAAGCTAGTTATAAAGCCACACAGACATCAATTTGTTAAGTCATTTCGCGCTTCTCATTATATAACTTAGGCCAGGGGTGTCAAACTAAATTTAATCGCGGGCCACATCAGCATTAGGGCTGCACTCGAAGGGCCGGTTGTAACTTTAAGACTATATAAAAATATATATATATAAAATAATGTATTATATTACATGATTGCCTCTGCATTGGATTATTATCAGATAGGGTAATAACTTCATAATTAACTACGTCTGAAAGCAGAAGTCTGGGGCAAATAATTGCAAGTCTCTTCAGTGAGGATGTCACAAAATGATTTAAAAAGAAAAGCCAAATTCTGGGAAAAAAGTTAAAATCAAAAAAAAGAAGTGACATTTAAAAAAAGGAAGTGACATTTAAAAATAAAGTAACATTTAAAAAAAATAGTCAAATTCTGAGGAAAGGGCACATTCTAAGAAAAAAAGCATATTTAGAAAAAAAAAAGTCAAATTCTGAGAAAAAGGTCTAATTTGAGATGCATTGTGGGACATGTAGTTTATGGGCAACGTGCTTCTGTAAATCATCATGTAACCGTATAATAAACATATAATATTCTTTGCAAGCTCTTGTGGGGCCACAGAAAATGAAGTCACGGGCCGGATTTGGCCCCCGGGCCTTGAGTTTGACACCCCTGATTTAGGCCATTACCCATCAGCAAAGTAACATTAGTAACACCAAAGGCTAATGAGCTATCAAACGCAGGGCTGCTGTCTGAATTAAGAAGTAGACAGGAGGTGTAACGTTTTAGGTTTATGCCAAGGACAGACACACACACACACACACACACACACACACACACACACACACACACACACACACACACACACACACACACACACACACACACACACACACACACATTCACATATGCATGCACGTCCTGTTCTGTTCTGTGCATGAACTGTTCTGGCAATTGCTCGGTGGGGTTTGAGCTATAGCTTTCTCTGAAGGGCATTTGGTTCTGAGCTACCAAAGGAGGACAGCCAGAAACACACACACACACACACACACACACACACACACACACACACACACACACAAGTACGCACACACACACACCCAGGTGGAAGTGGTGCCTCCACCATGGGTCTCCTTCTCTTTTCAAAGTCCCTAAAAGGAAGAAAAGTGAGCAAAAAGAAAGTGTGTGTGTCTGTGTGTGTGTGTGTGTGATCCAAAGCCAGACTTTAAGGCAAAGCCAACTCTCTGCAGCTCTCTGTCAAACCCACACATGGACACACACATAAACACACACACACACACACACACACACACACACACACACATACACACACACACCCACACACAGTTATTTATCTTCTCATGTTAAAAGGCTGTAAACCGATGGTGGGGTTTGAGCTATAGCTTTCTCTGAAGGGCATTTGGTTCTGAGCTACCAAAGGAGGACACACACACACACACACACACACACACACACACACACACACACACACAACCACCCACACACAGTTCTTTCTCTTCTCATGTTAAAAGCCTGTAATCCGACACAGCTACAGGTGATCTGAAAAGCTCAGGAAACTCAATTCTGTTTCCCTTTTTTCCCCTAGTTTATAATAGAAGACATGAAACAGCAGCAGACCAACAAGCACAGCAACCTGCACCGTGAGGACCAGCACATCACCGTGGAGGAGCTGTGGAAGGGCTGGAAGGCCTCCGAAGGTAAACCAAGAGTCACTGCCCCAAGGTCACAGACACATTTAGTGCTCCAGTCGAAAGGACAACATACCTGGGAGTGAGTCAGAGAAGGATTGTTTTATTTTATTTGTTCACTCCTAAAGAGAGATGGATAAACACAGATGTTATGCCCTTGCTTTAAAATATCCCAGACTGTCTCTGCGATGGAGATAACAGGGACAAATCACATGGGTATGAATAGATATCAACTATTTTCTACTCTCTCTCCTTGATAGATCTTAGATCACTTGGTGCTATCACGGCTGCAATACTTACAAATAACATTATACACATTACTTTACGATGAAGCATAACAAAGTGCCTAAGTCAGGGGTGTCAAACTCAAGGCCCGGGGGCCAAATCCGGCCCGTGACTTCATCTTCTGTGGCCACACAAGAGCTTGCAAAGAATATTATATGTTTATTATACGGTTACATGATGATTTACAGAAGCACGTTGCCCATAAACATGTCCCACAATGCATCTCAAATTAGACTTTTTTTCTCAGAATTTGACTTTTCTTCTTCTAAATATGCTTTTTTTCTTAGAATGTGCCCTTTCCTCAGAATTTGACTCTTTTTTTTAAATGTCACTTCCTTTTTTTAAATGTCACTTATTTTTTTTGATTTTGACTTTTTTCCCAGAATTTGGCTTTTCTTTTAAAATCATTTTGTGACATTCTCACTGAAGAGACTTGTAATTATTTGCCCCAGACTTCTGCTTTCAGACATAGTTAATTATGAAGTTATTACCCTATCTGATAATAATCCAATGCAGAGGCAATCATGTAATATAATACATTATTTTATATATATATATTTATATTGTCTTAAAGTTGCAACCGGCCCTTTGAGTGCAGCCCTAATGCTGATGTGGCCCGCGATTAAATTGAGTTTGACACCCCTGGCCTAAATGATTAGATACAAGAGAAGAAAAGATTGAATAATAATAATACAAAATATAAATAAATGTATACAAAGCTTTTTTTATTTAATGGAGACAAGATAATACAAAGTAGAATAATAACAAAAACACAAATAAATTATTATCTGTCCAATTTTTGTTACTTTTTTTTTTTTTTTTTATAGGAAAATGAAATAATTGCAAATATTTCCAAAAATCTATAAATTATTTTTGTATTAATAGATAAAATAAATGGGAAAGTAAAACAATAACAAATACATACATTACTGTTTACATTATTATTAAGGAGAAAATAAAACTGAAAAATTAAATAATTACAAATGAATTAATTCATAATCAAATGAATAATATTACATGACATGTTACTTGTTAGACGCTTTTATCCAAAGCGACTTACATACTCAATACTGTGGACAATCCCCACAGGAGCAATTTGGGGTGAAGTGTCTTGCCCAGGGACACAACGACATGCTGACTGCAGTGGGTTTTGAACCAACGCACTAGCCCACTGCGCCACAGCCTCCCTCCCTAATATCAGCATTGTCTAACATCAATGTGTGGTTCCTTCCCTAGGCTGCACAATAAGCAGGAGACAGACTTCCCTATATAAATATAACATGTGACACAGGGGTGGTTTCTCATAAGAGCAGCGAGTCACCGTCGTAATGTAGAAGTTACATCTCATCCAATTCTCTGGGAAACTCATTGACTTCTGCTTTAAGGGCTCCAGGAAAAGTGAACCACGATGAGCGCACTCGAGAGACTATTTACCTTTTAATGAAGTGTTGGTGAGAGAAAGGACTAAAAGTACGCAAACACTCAGTTATGGTTAAAGGGCTGTATTTATTTTATTTTGTTACGCAGCTCAGGGGCAATTTAAATTTTGATCACACTAACATTTGTAATCATATCATTTCAACTCATTTAAAGAGCTCCACTTCCTCTTCCTCTTCTCATATTTAAATGTCTGAGGGGAAGGTACAGCATTTAACCCAAAGTACTCTTTTTAGTTTATCTTCAAACTCCCCCCCCCCCCCGCACGCAGTCTGTCACTCTCAGCCTGTACGTGCCAATATTTGTTCATCACTCTGAAAATATGTCAGGAGCTATGTGGCTGCCCAACAGGTTTTTCAACATGCTTCATAGTGCGTTTTTTTTACAATATGCATTTTCTTTTCTCAGTTGTTACCGCTCTGGCTCAAAGGAAGCAACGTGAAAGTTGGATCAATCTAATTTTCACTATAAGAATGTCAAAATCGTTAAAGGAACAAGAAAAAAAAAATCGTGATTGAATATATACTTTCTACGTGCTCCCACAAGTGTTACAAATACTGAAAAAAGAAGACTCCACGTGTTATACATATCTTACTTTTTAAATGTTTACAACTATGAATTACAACCTCTCTTGTCCCCTTCTCTCTGCTCAGTGTAAACAATCTGCAAAGTGTCCCTAAGTTATTATCAAGTCTCCCAGTTGCGCCATGACGTACAGGTTTTGGTAAATATTGAATAGCCATTATGATATTTTACTTATTTTCTTTAAATAGAAATATTATAATTTTCAGCATTTAATTTTTTTGATTAATTAATAAAAAAAAAATTTTTAAACAGTCCTGTTCAACTTGAACAGATTTGGTAAATAGTGTAATAATTGAAGCAGTTCCATAATCTGTATTAATGTCAAGATCTTTGCACAATAACTTAAAATAAAGCATTTGTTTGAAGTAATAGTGGTTTAAGGGGAGGTTGAGAAAATTGAAAACACGACAGCAGTAAAGACTCATGGATCTTTTTTAAATGTTATTCATGCTAACTATTAACACCATGCTCAAGCCCTAAATCTAACCTTTTATATGACCCTGCTAACGCTACATCGAAACATTTAAACAACATGTTTTTACTCTGTACATTTCAAAACCAATCCATGCAGAGTTGTGGGGTTCACAAGCGGTCTTTGTGTTGGTAATGGTTTCATAACAGAGTGATTTCCCTGGGCGATATTAGTTAAAAAAACAAAGTTAAGTGTATAAATGTGTGTCGCAGAACTTGTTTATCCTGTAAATTTATCTGTTTAGATAGTGGTCGCATGGACTTTTGCTTATTGTATCTGCACTTTTATTAAAGTAAAGGACCTTCCTGTTGATAAAAGCGTCAGCTAACAGTAACCGAATGTCGTCCATTTCTCTCTTTTCTCTCCTCTTCAGTCCACAACTGGACGGTGGATCACGCGGTGGAGTGGCTGAAGGAGTCCGTGGAGCTGCCGCAGTACGAGAGGCACTTCCGGGACTTCAGAGTCACGGGGAACACTTTACCTCGGTTTGTACCACTCACAAAGTGTCACACACCTCATGGCTCACAGGAGCTGAGCGTTCATTCTCTCCTTCAGTAACGCCCGTAATGAAATCAACACTCATACATATCTTTATGGCAGATGTTGCGAGGGCTTCATGTCATTTCTCTGCCTCTAATTAAGATGTTGGTGAGCAGTAAAGTGTGTTTAGGAGCACTTATTACCATTATGGTCTTTATTACAATACACAAAGGCACCTTCAGTTTGCTTTACTCTGTTTAATGCTGCCCACTGCTGGACATAAAAGGCAACACAGTGGGAAAAAGTTGAATATTTGACCTGTGTAGCTAATCATATCACATTTTAGTATTTTAAAAACACTCATATATCCAATACTCCCAGTTGATATGGAACCGTTAACAAGTAACTAAGTCATCCCAGAGCCGACACTGGGACACTTGTGGAATGTGACTCGCTGCAAGGGGGGGGGGAGTTGGGGTTATTAAAGGGGTCTCATGTTTCGCCACTGGGCTGATGAGCGCTGACTCATGAAGTGATGTCACTGCGAGGGGCTTCAGTTTCCACAGGCTGCCATGTTGTCTGAGCCTTTAAGATGGTGGTGGTGGGGCTTCGATATATTCACACTGGCTCTGTTAATGCTGGAGGTTTGTGTGTGATACAGTACGTGCTGCACAAATATTCAACAATGTCAGTTCCAAGAAGTGACTTTAACCTACAGTTCTGTATTCTGCAGCAACAAATATGAAGCATCTCCTGAAAATTCAACGCGGGCAAATTCAAAACTGACGAGTAAATGATCCATTCAAGCAGTTTTCCCTGGGTCCCAATTAGTTTTTCAACTTGAACAGATTTGGTAAATAGTGTAATAATTGAAGCAGTTCCATAATCTGTATGAATGTCAAGATCTTTGAACAATAACTTAAAATAAAGCATTTGTTTGAAGTAATAGTGGTTTAAGGGGTGGTTGAGAAAATTGAAAACACGACAGCAGTAAAGACTCATGGATCTTTTTTAAATGTTATTCATGCTAACTATTAACACCATGCTCAAGCCCTAAATCTAACCTTTTATATGACCCTGCTAACGCTACATCGAAACATTTAAACAACATGTTTTTACTCTGTACATTTCAAAACCAATACACACTGGAGTCTGACTGTGTGGAAAGGAACTCGGTTTTCAATGCTGATTTTTCTCCCTCTCCATATTTCAGAATGGCGGCAAATGAACCGTCGTTTATGTCGATGCAGTTGAAGATATTAGACCAGCGGCATAAACAAAAGCTTAATCTAAAGGCACTAGACGCGGTGCTTTTCGGCCCTCCTCTACGTAAGTATTTCAATGAAACATGAAAAACCATCTTTACTAGGGTCATGTGTTGGCCCACACTCTCAGTTTTTGAAGCCAGAACAATTCAATAACCGCGTCTCCTTTCTCCCTCTCTCTGCAGGTCCGCAACACAACTGGTTGAAAGACTTTGTCCTGATGGTTTCCATAGTGATAGGTGTCGGGGGCTGCTGGTTCGCCTACGTGCAGAACAAGTCCAGCAAGGTGCACATCTCTCAGATGATGAAGGATCTGGAGAGTCTGCAAAACGCTGAGCAGAGCCTCATGGACCTGCAGAGCCGGTGAGAGAAGAGAAGGAGATGTACACACACAAAAAAATAGACCTTAGATATCACTTTCGTAGCTTGTCCATCCTGGTGCGTGTTAAAATGTCTTGTGCTTTTGGATTAACTTAAAAATATATAAAAAAAGATGATATGGATATATGATAATGATAATAACAATAATTATAATTCTAAATACTATAATAATTATAATGACTATTATCATAATTATCAAAGTTTACATGAAAATAGGATGAGAAATTAAACTGTCTTGTTATCTGAACATGGACTTGTAGGATTTTATTTTATTTTATTTACTTTATTATTATTTAATTTTCACCCTGGAAATGTGTGTATGTATGTATAAGTGTACATATGTAAGTATATATAGCATTTTGAATAGGATTTTTTTTCTTTATCCTCCAACTGGATGACTAACGGGTGGGCTACCTCTGTATAAACTATGCTTTCTGCCCTCCCGCTTCTACTCAGTTTGTTTGTTTCTCGGATGTATAAACTGTCTAAATAAAAAAAAAAAAAACAACCTCTCATCTCCCAGGCTGGAGAAGGCGCAGGAGGAGAACCGGACGGTGGCCGTGGAGAAGCAGACCCTGGAGCAGAAGATGCGAGATGAGATCAACGGCGCAAAGACGGAGGCTCACCGGCTGCGAGAGCTGAGGGAGGGCGCCGAGTGTGAACTCAGCCGGCTGAAATACGCCGAGGAAGAGCTAGTACAGGTAGCACCTCCCACACAAACACATTCTAATCATTCATTATTCAAATCAAATGCAGGGTATTTACATATTCACCTCAAAAGGCCAGTGTATTCGACGCAGACACATCACTGCTGCTAAAAAGCCTTGAAATGAAAAGATAATCTGGTATTTTTCTTGTTAAATGAAAAAAAGAAATCACTACTTTCACTTTCATATAGCATAAAATATATACTAACATATCTTAGAGTTCCTGAGCCAGGATTGGACTCATTTTCTCGTAACAATGTACATCTAAAGGTATTCTGATTCTGATCAATTCCCCCTAACTTACAGCATTTCAGGATGTTTTTAAATGATGTGCAGTGAACATAACCCGAGCTGGACCCTGATGTATCGCGTTCCTCCTCCGTAGGTTCGAAAGGCCCTGAAGCGAGCGGAGAAGGAGATGCACTCGGAGCGCTCGGTGCCCGAAGCTCTGCAGAAGTGGCTCCAGCTCACACACGAGGTGGAAGTCCAGTACTACAACATCAAGAAACAGAGCGCTGAGTTCCAGCTCTCCGTCGCCAAAGAAGAGGTAACCTCATATATTTATACACAGATTGTGAACATGTGATGTGGACATAACTCACTCACTGTATTTGGATTGTGGATTGAATGATGTGGAATTTTAAAAGATTAGCTTACATTAGATTTGTCTTTCTGCTAAGAGACTTTTAATGTCCTGGGTGTTGTCTGGCAGGAGACAAACGAATCAAAAGCTGCCAAAATACAGACTTTTTATGCAGCCTTTCCCAAGCTAAAGTACACAGTCTTGTTCATCTCTTGAAAGAGCAGTAAATCAGAGGCTCAGTCTGCTCTCTGGGAGACGAGCTGTATTGTTTAGAAGCTGTGTAAAGCAGAAAGGCTGGCCTTACCAACTAATTATGGCCAGAAATTAGTTTATTTTTAGACGAGCTGAAATAAGTCTTCTCTGTGTTGTGTGTTTCTGAACCTCAGGCAGAGAAAATCAAGAAGAAAAGAGGGTCTGTGTTTGGAACCCTCCATGTAGCCCACAGCTCATCACTGGATGAGGTGGACCACAAGATACTAGAAGCAAAGTAAGAAGCTCACACACACACACACACACACACACACACACACACACGCACACGCACACGCACACAGTAGCTGGAGGTCAACAATGTGTGCAACCTAACAGGAGGATTTATTGTCCGTTGCAATAATGTCAACAAATGACAGTACTTATTGATATGACATATTATAGGGAAGGTCATGTTGAATACAATGTCAAGCAAGGTTTAGTCAATAATAATAAGATTCAGCAGCTGTAGTATTATCTGCGGTATATATTACTTAGCATGTACTGTATGTGCTACTCCTATTTATCTGATACTGTAAATAAAGCCTTTACTAACTGTACTATGTTCATGCACACATCTGATTTTATTACATTTCTGAGGTAGACACCCCAACTTTTATTCTAGATATGTTTGATCAATTCAGAAGGCTTGTATAATTCAGGCTGAGATAAAGAATTCCTTTGTTTTCAAAAGCCAAAAGGGAATGAAAAAATGTATAAAGGGAATAAAGTGAAACCCCCTGCATGCCAATATCGTAATATAACCAGCAGGCTTGTGTGCCCAAACCCTCCTGACAAATCAAAGCAAACTAAGCTTCTTACTGGCTCTGAAACCCAATGTCTCTATCACTCTAATATCTGCCAGGTTAAATAAACGTACCCTCCTCTCTCCATTGTGTTTTTTTAGGAAATCCCTGTCGGAGGTGACGGCGTGCCTCAGGGAGCGTCTGCACCGCTGGCAGCAGATCGAGAAGCTCTGCAACTTCCCCGTGGTCAACAACTCGGGGCTGCCCAGCCTGACGGCCAGCCTCTACTCCGACCACAGCTGGGTGGTCATGCCCAGAGTCTCCGTGCCCCCCTACCCCATCGCAGGAGGGGTGGACGACCTGGACGAGGACACGCCTCCCATCATTCCGCAGTTCACTAGTGAGTAGGAGAACGGAGGAGTTTACGACATGCGTTAAAAGCGGTGTACAGTGCAAGAAATCATATTGCAAGCTATGTTATTATTTATTCTACTATTCCAACAATTATTAATTTATTATAGTTATTATCATTATCATATATCCATATAAATGACTTCATATTGTTTCATAGTACATCCCCTTGCTTAATTTTATAGTGGAAAAATTAATTATAACACCCCGTTTCCTCCCCCTCTCCCCCCCCCCCCCCCCCCCCCCCCCCCCAGCGGCCACGTTGATCCGGCCCTCTCTGACCCGCAGCAGCAGCCTGTGCCGGTCCCGCCGCAGCCTGCTGAGCTCCCCCCAGTCCTCGCTGATGTCCCCGGACCCCGACCTGCTCTCCATGGCCAGCTCGTCCCTCTCCTATCGCTCCGAGGCCGACGACGAACATATCATGTTCAGCTCGGATAGGAGGGGGTATGTAGCGGTGGCCGGGACGCCGCGGAATGGCTTTACAGTTTGGACTCACAGGTGTTTAATCCAGACTTTCTCACTGATGCTTTCACGATGCATGAATCTCCTCCTGTGTGATGTTTCAATGTCTAACTCATATATCTCATTACTTAGATCTTGTGTCCACTTTAATTCATGACGAATAGTAACTAATGAAAACACGTAAAAAATAAATAAAAATATGAGATTAAAAATATATGTATCGGCAGCATACAATTTTATTTCTTATGTAATGAGAAGCTCTTGTAAATTGATGCCAAAACTAGCTAATGTAGGACGCGTTGAAGAAAAGTTGTGGCCGTTAATATTACATGAAGCATTAATGGTACATTTTAATTTCTATTGCCTGCAAACAATCCCACAATTGTTGGTACTTTCTGACACATGGTGAGATTTGCCTGATTGCTTCTGGGCCTCTAATTGTTTGTAGTAATTTCATTAAGCAAAATGTTATCATGCAAGTATAATAAAGATTAAAATAAACCTGTTAATAGTGGATTTACATATATGGCCCCTCACAAAAAATGCCCTGAAATTGTAACTTCTCCTTCCATTTATAATGTGCTTACATTTGACAAATTCCCTTTTTAAAAAGTGAATTTATATTACCAAAACCAGTTGAAATGAAATGAGCCAGTTGAATTTGAATGATTTTTTAAAATATAGATTTTGCTCTTTAGTGAGCTGTAAAAAATCCCCACATTATGGAGGGTACCGCTAACCTCCATGGCAAATCATATACTTTAAAAAAACTTAAAAGTGCCAGAAAGAAAAATCTATTTCCGTTTTTTATGTATGACACTATTTTCTCCCCCCCCCCCCACCCCAGGGACCCCAGGGACCCCTCTCAGGAGTGCTGCTCCGACACAGACTCTCTCGGCTCCTCCATGAGCCGCAAGCAGCTGCACAACCCCTGCACGCCGGGCTCGGAGACCCCGTACCGCAAGATCTCCCGCGAGGAGCTGCTGCTGTTCGCCCAGAGGGAGAACATGGAGCTGCCCGCCTCCACCCACACCCCCCACACCCCCAGCAGCAGCAGCAGCAGCAGCCTCAGGGACTCCACGCCTCCTCCTCTGCCCCACCAGGCCAGCACCCCCTCCGGCTCCCCCTCCCCGGCCCTGGAGCACCACCCGTTCCCCCACAGAGGCTCGCCAGACATCACCCGCTCCATCCCAGAGTCCCAGAGCATGACCTTCTCCCAGGGGAACGCCACCTCTCCCACGGGCAAAGGAATGTACAACGGCATCCTGGAGAAGTCCTACAGCTACAGCCAGCTGCCCGCCAGCATGCTGCCCAACAAGGGCCGCAACCCCTCCCTCACCTCCCTGGACTCAGGCGTGGGACGGGAGTACAAGCTCCAGAGCACCTCCTCCCAGGACTCCAGCGACAATGGAGAGAAAATCAAGCGCTCCTCCTCTAAAATCAAAAGCTTATTTAAGAAGAAGAAATAAAACTTGAGATAGCGAGAGAAAGAAATCAAATATAAAGAGTCGTTTTAGCCCCAATACTAAAAAAAACAAAAAAAATGGACATCACTGTAAGCTAAAACATCTTCTCTGGTATTTTCTTCTTTTTGTCGTCAAAGATGGAATGTAGCTCAGTCTGGGTGCCTTAAAACGCCTCGGACTGGTAGCCTTATTTTTCAATAATGCCTTTTTATTTAGTTCACTCATAGCCTCACAGGAAAACCTGCAAGGGCCGAGGAAAGGTCAAGGAAAGGTCAAGGAAAGTTCAACGGTCACGATAGTTGTCGTCCAGACAGCGTAAACACATGACCTGCTCGCTATTCGTTTTGGTGTGAACCAAAAAGTGTGTAAGGGTCTAAAGGTGCAGTCCATCTGTATTGTTTAGCACAGGATGATGTTCCTACTGGAAGTACTTTAATCACACTTCCAGTAGGAACAGCGTCACATTACATTACATGTGAACTTACTCAATACTGTGGGCAATATGTCATCATCAGAAAAAAGGTCTTCTTTCTTTTAAGATTACCAACTCCTCCTCCCCGCTCAGATTATGGATTGCATTTTACGAAGTGTTTGAGTCCTAAACTCACGTACTTGAAAATAAATCCTGCTAAAAGTTTGTTGCACTACTGCTTTCCTGGTATTTTAGGAAAGCGCCGCTGCTTGCGGAGTACATATTGAATAAAGTTATAGAGATGAGGAAGCCATGGGCAACGGCAGTGGAGAGGCAGCACATAACGCCAGAGACAAAACTATCTGACGCTTCTTCAATGCCACTGCTCATGGATGTCTCAATATATATAAATATATATATACTTTGTTTTCACATGATTATGTTCTTATAGATGTTTTTAAATAGATTTTTATTGGCGGGGGGTTCCTACTGTATGAACTGATCTTTACCGAGGAGAGTTTATTGAATATGCAGATTTAACCCGCACCAGTCATTTTACCTATAATCTATCTGTCCCTTTTTACTTGATTAACTGTGTCCTGTAGCAATACCAATTTCAATCTTTGTCTTAAATACATTGTCCCCCCTTTAAAATGTGGTGTCACTACCAGATTTCTTTTGCGGTTGGAGTGCCATATTCATATTTAAGGAGACCTGAGTGGTGCCAGGAAGTCAGTCTCCACTGTACGTTTGTTTCCAGGATACAAAAAAAAAACACTAAGGATTGTCTGTTTGAAAAAGGAACTATTTGATCCAAATGTCATTGACACACCGCCCCCCCATCCCACACTAAGCTCGAAGCCGACCCATGCAATACGGTCCCTGTTCCTTTTCCCCTCCTCCTGGGCCTGCACCGAGCGCACTGATGTCAAAAGCTCCTGCTTCACACTGTGATTTCTGCCTCGTTTCCCCTTCATCCTGGACCTGGCTGCAGCTCAACACGACGGGGGGTCACGTCAAGAAAACGTGACACGATAAAATGATGCTGTGTACGAGGTGTGTCTGCGGGAGGCGAGGATCCTCTGTTTTTAGAAGAAAAAAAATATAGGAAAGTTGTGGCAAAACCACACAATGAAGGATACAAGACAGAACTGCAAGAGGAGGATATGAATGTTTACGAGACATTAGGGTTTTTTTGAGAACATTTTGTGTGTGAATATTTGTATACTGTAGAAGAATTAATTAAAAAAAATGGAGGCATTGGAGATGTTTCAGAGTCATGCTTACCGAGGCTGATTATTGTAGTTATTTAATTTCTAACTCAAGCAAATGCATCTACTTTCCGAAATCTCTAAACTTGAGGCTTGTTTTCTTACAGACTTGAGGGGGGAAACTAGGCACACTAGGAGGGGAGAGGGGACATCTGCTTGGTGATGAGGGTACTGTACAAAGCAACAAATGGCAGCCTTTCACACATGCAGCGATGGCCACATGGTGTCAGCAACGCACCGGAGGAGAGCTTCCATTTCAGCCAATAACTGACAGTGGATCTGTGTTCAAACCTGTTACAGATCAGTGCTACTCTTGTTCAACTGCTCAGGTATATTTATGGTTTTCATAAACACTCAACATATATTGTACCCCCACTACTCTTAAAAATTGGACTTCCTTCAAGCACAACACATTTTAATAACGCAGCAATCAAATCAAAATTATTTATATCGCCCAATATCACAAAACACATTTGTCTCAGTGGGCTTTGAAAGCTCCGACTCCAGATCTGGTTTTCCGGACTCTGGGAATGACTAAAGACCTGCAATGTTGGAGCGTAATGCCCTATAGAGGGACAAGAGGGGATTCAAAGATCTTTAAGGTATGATGGTGCCTTTCCATTTAGTGTTTTGTAGGTTAGAAGAAAAGCTTTGATTCTGGACTTTACTGGGAGTGACTTGGTATTCAATAAATACAATCCAGATATTAAACCCAGGTAATCCTACACACTTTTAACACAAGGGTTTATTTAGAAATTAGTCAAATGCATTCTCTGCTAAGCAATTAAAATGCCAAAAATTAAATCTGAAGCAAAAATTAAATGTTTAGTTTTAGCTTAATACTTGATCACCTGATGAACAAATGACATATACTGACATGTCATTTTCTGCCTGTTTTAGACATACTATACAATGTAAAAACATGCAACAAAAAAGTCATAGTATGTCAAAAATATCAGAACAATTTCGGTATAGTATGCCGAAATAAGGCGTAGTATAGTAGTAGTAGTATAGTACTGTGTGGAAAAAATGAAAACAAACGACAGTCAAAATAAGGCTCGTTATAGTATGTCGAAATAAGGCCGGAAACGACAATATATGTGTAAAAAAGAAAACGACATGTCGAAAATATGAGAAACTACCAAGTAGCCTATAGTATGTTGAATTTTGAAAAAAAAAAAGTCAGTGTTTTGTCGAAATAAGGCGTACTTATCATCTTTCAAAAATAATTAGTTTAGGAGTCGTTGACAGATATGCGACAAAGACAGCATTTTTAAGAAAACATCTTTATTAAATTCCAAAATGACCAATTAAAAAAAATTATACTTCCTTTAAATATCGGCAGCATTAATTTTTTTTCTGCAAGGGCTGTCGCACTCCTGTGAACAGAAAACAATTGTGAAATACTACACTTAAAATGGGAGATTTTTTATATGTATGGGTTAAAGCTCTCACCTTTACTCATAGCGTTGGCCAGATATCGGAACCTAGCGTTGGTCGGATATCGAAACCTAGTCACTTTGACATAGCGAGCAGGAGGGTGGAAGGCAGGCTTGTATGATGCTGTAGCTTGTCTTGTGGCAGCAAGCGTGGTTGTAGCAAGCGTGGTTGTAGCAAGCGTGGTTGTAAGAGCTGAAGTGGGTTGGATTGTGGGACTCTGCAGACCTAGCATTCAAAAAGAGAAATGCTTAAAATCGAATATGGGGAGTAATACCTGGTCACCTTGAGAAAGTGAACAAACTACTTTACCTGCTGCAGGATGTGTGGTATGGAGGAGGCTGCCGATTCCAGCTGCGTCGGACTCAAATCTGTGCACTGAGAAGAGTCGATGGAGACCAGACAGAGGATAGGTACACTGCATTGTCACCCTGCAAGAAAAGGCACATTCACCCACACATCAGATAGCAATTTCTGCCTTTAAAACAAATCAACAGACTAAAAAAGGGATACTTACCTTTCCGCAGCATTATCGGAAACAACCTTGAGGAACTTCTTGCTATAGAAAATCTCATTTTGATAAGTCACATTTTCACTGTTGAGCTGTAGGCAAAAGATGCAAATGGTGATACATTTAGTTTACGACATTCAGATGTTCCTTTTGTTGCCAGTGTCAAAGATACAAATATAGCAGCGGTACCTTGACTGCGGATCCACAGCTGTTGAGAGAGAAAGAGAACAGAGCCCTGCTGCCGTCTGTCTCTTTGGGGCCACAGTATTTGTCTCTCAGGTTGGTTCTAGCAGGATTGCCGCCATTTGGGATGGCCAGAGCCAAGTCAGCCACCACAGTCATCGTCCCATCAGTCGAACACGCTGTAGGAGAAGACCATCGAGTTATCCTCAATTCAGCTAAATCTTAAAATAAAAAAAGACACATGTTCTTACTAATGAGTTCTGTAGTGGAGAACGGACAAGTCTTGATCGTCGATCCCTGGACCTCTGATGTTTCAAGATCCCGCATGATGATTTCAAAAGTGCCAAAGAATCCCTTCAAGGATATGTTCTATAAAAACATATGCAGTTTAGTCATTGATCAATACAGCTGTCAAATAAAGAGCATTTGCTGCCACTCAGCTTCTCACCTTGTACTCGTAGCCGTGAGAGAAGAGCGGCACTTCAAGCAGCAGACTGTTGCTATCGTTGCTCATGATGTAGCCGTGCTGGTCTGCCAGCTCTGATGTCAGCAGGTCTGACTCGATAGTGATCTCCCACAGGTAGTCAAAAGGCTGGTGGTCCAGCTTGAAGCTGATGCCAGACTCCGTGCAGACCGCATCAAATTGCGGAGGAGCTGTTACAAGAAAATTGGTTAATCTGCTAGCCGCCATTACAAAAAGACGATTGAATTTTTTTTTTTTTTTTTAAAACTTATAACGGTATGGACTTACCCCCTGTGACCAATGCTACAACAGATTCCATTCGGTAATACAGATCGTTTTCAGGCAAAACTGTCAGTGTGTAGTTGATGTTGAGTATATAATGAACGGCAGCTGTTTTAGAGAGCTAGGAGACATAATACAATTCATTATGACTGAGCTCATGTCAAGCTGCAAAACTGGAGTCATCCCTTAAAAAATAAATAAAAAACACCTTACCTGTTGCAGGACGACAGGGTCTTCAAAAGGCACCTTCAGTTTGTAGCCATGAGTGTTGTTGGGATGAACAACTTTTGTGATGATGAAACTGCTTACGTTTAAGGGCACTGTAAATTCTTGTCCATTCAAATGAACAGCAGCCAACTGTACGTCTTCAGGGACGTCTCCGAGGTACACCGTGAACATGTTTTCTTCAAGAACAGTTTGGTTTTCAGCGAAGATGGGGCTTGGCAGCAGGGGAGTGGCCAAAGTCCTGAGGAAGCGGATCCTGGTTTCTACACGATCCTCATCCACCAGGATTTGTTCCAAGTAGAGATGATAGACATAAAACTCGTAGAGATCGTCATCCACAGCACTCTGAAGAAAATACATATCGTTTGTTAAGAAAAGTGAAATACAAATGTAGTTCGGATCCAGTTAGTAAGAGTTAAATGTTTTCCCTTTTGAGTATCTGTAATATCTCGAACCTTTGAGAACTACGAGTTTTATTTAGAGACCATGAATGTATCTGTTTACTTTAATTTAGTCTACAAACCCCAGTGTGTATCTATGCTCTTAGGTTTTTTTGATTTCTGACCTTCCTGTATCGTCCTTCAGCATTTTCGGGAATGCAGATCTGGATTGTGTTGTTCTGCTTCCCCACAATGTAGCCCCTCTCCTCTGCAACTGGCTGCGCAACAACTTCACCCTTGAGACCAACGTTGACTTGTTGGCCATCTAGATTTGGGTACAGCATCTCAGGAGTCTCCCACATCATGTAGCCGCTTTCATGATACAAGCCTTCATCTGTTAAGAGTACATCAGATTCATAGCTTTACTTTTCCAGCAAGTGGAACAAAATCCACAGCATAAAAAAATAATAATGTGTTTAAATACTGACCCATGGAGCAAGCAGCCACAAGGTCAACCAAGAGGACAATCCAGCTTTGTCTGGAGAATATAGTTGCATGTACTGCTTCTACTGGAACACCATTGAGCTGGAGAGAGCGCTACATTAGAAACTCTTATGCTCAGATTGACAAAATAGGCATTATTACCCAATGGTTTACCTCAGTGCTGAATGACTCCGGTTGTCCATACGGAGCACGAAATACCAGCCTTCCTTCAGTCAAGAGAAACACATATCCCCGCTTACGAGCGTCTGAGATGTTCATTGGCGGCAACTGCTCGTCAGCCGTCTGAAACATCACCTGCCAGTCTGAAGTGGTGGACCTATGAGCCTGGAAAGAGATTTTAAAAAGGTCCCCTATTATACAGTTTTTCATCAATATATTATAGGTCTCAGTATACAGACAAAACATGTCTCTGAAGTGTTTGGCTCGAAATACCAAACGGATAATTGTAGCATCCCATAATCCCCTCTTGTTTCAGCCCCGTTTCAAAAGTGCTGATTCTGTGTCTGTTACTTTAGATGAAAATAAGGAGCCACTCCCCACACCCCTCTGAGAGATATTTGCTTAAAAGGAGGAGATTCAGGTGATAAGGTGGGGGGTACCTTGGCTAATGGTTACACAAGCTAATAAATCATTTTGACATCATAGAGTGTTTATATAAATGGAGCAGGACAAAAAGTGAGCGAATATTTTTCCCTGAAACTTTCAGTATCTATTTACACAGAGGAGGATACATGTTTATGTATAAAAGACATGAAAAAGCCTTAAAACTGAGAGAGAGAAAAAAGGGAATTCTCCACAGAAAGAAATTAAACTTACAGGTTTGAGAGAATTCCAGTCATCCTTCTTTGTTCCAGAGGGACAGGTGACTTCACTCCTCACAGACACCTGGAAAGAAGTCATGATTAGTCACCATCTGAAAGACTGCATAAGTTATACAACCTCAGATGTAAACTAGCTTACCTCCATGTAGTTGGTCTCACAGGTAACCTCTCTGGGAGACCAGGGGAGAGATGGAAAACAGGTCTTGTTCAAGGGATAAGTCACCTCCTTTCCTTCTTGTGTCACATTTAGGTTGAAGTTGAATGTGAACATTTCATCATCCTAAAAAACAAGCAGAAAATTACAGGATGGCTAGCCTGCACAGTAAAATACATTTTCAATGCAATTTGTACACACTTTGTTCTGAGTTTGACAGCTGAAGTAAGAGGCCCGGAGCTCCACATGGCCTGGTAGAGGGAGAACATTGATACTGTAGCCACACTGTGCCGCATACTGCTGAGTGATGGCGTACGCACCGGTCTCACCTGGAATAAAAATAATCTCAATATTAACTCCCAACATCCTGAAAGTACAGGTATACAACTACCAGTGAATAATAAACTATTAAGGTCATGTTTTTCCTAAAGGTAAAAATGATGGTTCAATCAATTCAAGATGCTTGATGAACGTGCACTACTCATGTGGAAGAAGTTCCAACAATATCTGTGTTGGCCTAGATCAAGTTTTCCAGAACTTACCAACTGCCTCAAAGTGAGGTTCGTCCCCAGTGAAAGAGGGATCGACAGCCATCATGAAGTAACGATCATGACAATCCATACGAAGCACTCCTATGTGCACAAACAAGTTTAGGTCAACATATGAACAATATTAAATGCATGTCAATGGGTTGTTATTTTACTTACCATCTGGAATGCCAGCAGTCTCTGCTCTTGACCACAGAGACAGAAGTAAAGCGACACTGAAACAAGAGCAGAATGTCTCTGAATATAAAAAACCCAAATCAAACTTACTGTAGTGGTCCAGGCCTATATTTGACCTTAAAAACAACTTACCCAATGCAAAACCCAAAAGCCATAGCCACTGATGTGTCTGCAGTGTCTAAAGCTAGCTTAACTGCTAGCAAACTACACTTGCTAACCAAAACAAGCCTAAGTGAAACACTTGCTTGTTAAATCCTGGCCAAACTAGTCCTTTCTTCTACTGCCTGCAACAACACCTTTTATATTCTTTTTTCACCCATGAGGTTGAAGGGCAACACTAACCTCATCAGCTGCAACCTGTTGAGACATGATTGAGATTGTAATGAGCTACACCTGTGGCTGTGACGCTTGAGGGCCTCTGATTGGTCTTTTAAAAAACTCACTTATAAAAGCTTGTCTAGCTGTCAGCAGAAGGTTTTGCCTGTTTGGCCAGGGTATGCACCAAGCAAGTGCTTCACTTTAGCTTGTGGTTAGCAGGTGTAGTTTGCTAGCAGCTAAGCTAGCTTTAGACACCGCAGACATATCAGTGGCTATGGCTCTTGGGTTCGGTTTAAGGTAAGGTGCTTTCATTGAAATGTATAAGTTGTAAGTTGCTATCAGTGCATCATAAGTTTCCAATTTAGGCCTACAGTATATCTGCTTTGTGTGATCTTGCTTCTGTCCATGTGGGCAACTGCAAAATGTGACCAAATTCCCAAAGGTAAGAATGTAAATGTTTGCTTAGAAGCCTCGAGCTATTGGCAGATATATTCACACCTGTACTTGTTTTTTATACAGGTGCTTTTCACACCGAGTGTCGTGATCGCTTTGTCATGATAGCACTTGATCTGTTATTCGTTGGGGAAGACATATCATTTTGAGGCAGTTGGTAAGTTCTGCACATACCAACTGTTTGAGAAACCATGTGCCATATGGGACCAATAATATTTTATGTTAATTTGCCACCAGTGTCTGATAGAATAATGGTCTGTAAGGAAGGAGGAACAATTGTCAGGTGCGGCATTTAGTTTAAATTAAGGGTAGCTCTTTAAGCCTATTGCTCTGTTAAGATTGACCTGTTTCCACTTCATGTTTAAATGTTCAGATGAACTACATTTGATTGTCTTTCAGATGAAACAGGCGTGCATCTCATAGGCAGAATCGAGCACAGTGTGGCTACAGTGCCAGTGTGTTCCCTCTTCTCGGCCTTGTAGTGCATCGAGCCTCTTACTTCAGCGGTCACACTGGAAACCAAGTGTGTACGACTTATAAATATATTTTATTATGTCAATTTTTCTCCAGACTAGGTGTGACATCCTCATGTTCTACTTGTTCTTTCAGGATGATGAAGTGTTCACATTTAACTTCAGCCTGATTGTTTCAAATGATGGAAAGGAGGTCACTTAAAAAAGAGCCATACGAGTTATACATAAAACTACGTACAGAGAACCAACAAATAAATTATTTATCAAACTAAAAACACTAAAACTACAAGACCTGGTTGACCTATAAAACTATTCAAATTATGTTCAAAGCCGCAAATCAACGATTACCTCATATCCAGGGACTTTTCACACGGAGAGAAAGCATGCACATGTTGAGAGGAAACTGCATTTAAAAAAAAAACACCCGTACGAACAAATGCCAAACTTCATTGCATCTCATCAAAAGGTGTTAGTCTGTGGAATAACTGTACTGATGCACTGAAATATATCTAAACTGAAAGTATTATTTAGGAGCCAAATCATTAATGGTTATGAACAGGACCTGTAAAATCCCATTTGTTATTTCTTGTAATTGTAAAAGTAATTTATTTCTGATTGTTTTGTAAACAAACAAATTAACAAGACAAACATATCGCTGATGACCTAATATTTTATTTATAATGAAAATGTATGCTAGAGGAGGTAGGACCAGAAAAGTTTTTTTTAAGCTTCTTCTTGCCCCTGTTGAACATGACAGAAACTATTTGAGAATTATTTTTTATTTTTTTTGTATTCTTTTTTTGTACTTTGTAATAATTATTATGAGTGAGAAAAAACAAGAAAGAAAATGATATATATATATATTATTATTGTTTGTTTTGTTTCTGACATGTTCAATAAATTGACTAAAAAAAATAAAAAACTTATCCTATAAACAAGATTTGTTCGCCTGATCTCCTAGAGAAGTTACCTGTGAGGAAAACTTCATGCAGGTATTCTTAATTTATTTGTAATATTTCACTAAAGGTTTTTGGTTTTGGATGCCTACTAACCCTGATGTCTCTGTAGGTATCTGTGAGGAGTGATGTTGCCTGTCCAATTGGGACAATGAAGGATGACTGGGATGCTGTTGTCCAAACGGTATGTCAGGGAATGGATGGTATTGGTCAAGGGGCTGAAAGGAGAAAACATGCAATGAGATGAGCATGGATTAAAATTTTCCGTCCATTTCTTTCCAGGCTTATGCCTCAGCCGCCTCAGATTGGCAGGTGATGTTCCAGAGGGTGGATGAGGAGCCGACTCCTATGAGCCTTGCTGAAGCTCATGAGCTGGGCTATGAGTTTGACTTTACTGAAGGAAGGCTGGTATTTCGTGCTCCCCATGGACAACTCGACTGAGGTGCTGCACCCAATAATGTCTGGTCTACATGAGACTCAATTCAACATTGGCATCAATAGTGATCCTGTGGAGCCAACCGTTGCAGAGGAGAGGGGCTACATTGTTGAGAAGGACAATGGCACAGTCCAGATCAGCATGCCCTACAATACTGAAGAAGGATACAGGAAGGTAATGATGCACTGACTGAACATGTTTACAAAAATATCTGAATTATAATGCAGCAATTGAAGCATTTGGGCACCTAGCATACTTTGTTTTTTCATAAAGCTGTCTTGCAATATTATCAATTTCTGATCTAGTGGCACACTTGCATGGCCAATTTAAAGATTGTAGTTCAACTTGATAACTTTTACAGAGCTTTGTGTCTGGCGACCTCTACGAAGTCTACTTCTTTGACCTTTACTTGGAGCAAGTGTCATTGGCTGAAGATCATATGGATTTCGATTTCGAAAGACACTGACTACGCCCCTGCTGCCACGCCCTGTTTTCAGTGAAAACAGTAAGTATATTGACAAACGCATCATCCAGTTGATGCAACAATAATCTGAATGTCTTTTAATTTCAGGAACAGTTCCTGAGGAGCTTGTGTTCACGGTCTACCACGCAGCCTCACCATCACAAAAGTTATTAATCCCAACAACACTCATGGCTACACTCTGAAGGTGTCGATGGATGACCCTGTTATCAGGCAGCAGGTAAAGTATCTAAAATACTTAGTCCATATTCATGGAAAAATGTATCTTGCTTGGCTCAGCTGTAATTTGTATTTTCTGTTTCCTAGCTCTCCAAAGAACAATCAGCCATGCAGCACCGTTTGGACATAAACTTCACCCTGACTGTTCTGCCAGAAAATGAGCCTTTTTACCGCCTTTTTACCTTACTTTTGAGATCACCATTCGGGATCCTGAAACATCTGAAGTCCAGAGCTCATCTGTCAAGACTTGTCCGTTCTCTTCTACAGAACTCATTAGTAAGAAAAGACCGTTTTGTTTCTGTTAGCTCTGATGGGGTCTCAATAAGTGTGAAACGTGACCTAAATCACTTTTCTCTACAGTGTGTTCGACTGATGGGAGGATGACTGTGGTGGCCGACTTGTCTCTGGCCATCCCATGTGGAGGAGTTGCTGCTAGAACTAACCTGAGACAAATACTGTGGCCCCAAAGAGACAGACGGCACCAGGGCTCTGTTCTCTTTTCTTCTCAACAGCTGTGGATCCACAGTCAAGATACTGATTTCCACAAGATGACATTTAGACCCTGCAGTGTGGGTCTGCCTTCGCTCAAATGTTATGCTTTGTTTTCCAGCTCGGCAAAGACTATGTGACTTATGAAAATGAGATTTTCTTCAGCAAGAAGCTGCGAGCTCTAAAGAATCCAGGAGATCCCAGCAACATTATTGACAGGTATATATTGAACCCATACTCTTGACTTTTTTTTCTGTTTTTCGTAGTCAAAAGGCAAAATAATGTATCCCTTTTTTGTCTTGCAGGGTCCCGATACAGTGTACATATCCTCTGGACTGTTCCGCCTCTTCTCAGTATACAAGTTTGAGTCTGACAAAGCCGGTTTCGGTCGCATTGTTCATTCTGCGCACTCTCCTGAAGGTAAGTGGTTGACCTGAATAAACAACATTATATTTTAAATTAAATACTGACGATCTGTTTGGTCTTTAGGTCTACTGAGTCCCACCATGGAGCCCACTGTTTCAAACTCCAGTGAACACTACCAGACGCTCCAGAAGACCTGTGTCAATGAGACCTGGGTACCAGCCTCCTGCTAAATACAACAAGGTATCCAGCTTTCTGAAGAATCTTCCTAAGAAGAAAGCAACTCTGCAATCCAAAAATAAATCCGACAATGTATTAAGGGATTATGTATTTTTACTGTAAATATCAATAAATGTGTTTATAAAAAAATACTACAATCAATGCTGCATATGGCAAAGAAACTCTTTCATTCCAAGTAGCTTATCAAAACATTTGGAAAGCAATGTTTCCCTAGATTTTTAATTTTCAGATAATTGTACACTTTCTTTTTTTGGTTAAAGAACTGGTATCGTATGTCTTAAGGGATACATGCATTATCGGCCCTGTGGAGGTGACACAGCATTAATGCCACATTTAAAGTTTGGCTGCTGGACATTGTGGTAATTGGTTAAGAGTGGACGCCCATAATGAGCTAATTAAATGCAGCATAATGATGGTAAAGCCAGTCTTCCTGACTGAACCTACACTTGAGCTTCATTTAGATGGTACATAAAAGCCAGGTGAACATTTTAGGGTTTAGAGGCATCAGCCAGTTTGAACAAAAAAAGGGTGATTTGGAAGCCTTGTCCTATTCCATAAGCCACACAAATATCTGGTACCATTAATATAGCATCCTTTTATTTCTTCTGGTTTGAGCGTAAAGACAACAAAACATTGAATGTTTCAACAAGTGTCAGGAACAAAGACTTGTGTTGAATGTTTAGATGCTACTATACAAGGATAATGTCCATCATTGGATAACTGAATGCCCTTCACAGTAAACTTGTGCTTCTGACAGTAAGTTTTTCACTTGTGCATGACTTGTCAAAATGTTAGGTCATATAATTAACTTTAAATAGGCTATAAACTACCTTGAAAGGCTAATATTTCAGACTAACTTAAATTCACTTTTAGACTACAAGGCAATAATGCCAAAATGTTTTGTGAATGTGTTTTCTCACTTGAAATGCACAGGTCACATGGAATCTTATCAATTCTGGTTAAGGCCACTTTCATAGTATTCCAATTAGAATATTTGTATGCTACCGCTAAACAGTTATCCTACAACCATCAATTATACAACAAGCAGTTCACACTTGTGTAGTCTAATAAAAAAAGAAACGGAACATTAGAAAAGGTTCATATTAAAGTGAAAGCTTTTGTAATTAAAGGGGACCTATCATGCAAAATGCACTTTTGGACGTCTTTTATACATATGTGTCCCCGGTGTTCCAGGGAACTCACCAAGTGTCAGAAAACACAACCCTCTCTATTTTCCTCCATACCCAAATCTCTAAAAAAGGGGCTGCAACGGATCTGATAAAAACTGATCCAGATTTGAACACTTTACTGACGTCAGGAAAGTGGCGCTACGGCTATTGGGCCAACTCCACCAATCAGGAGACAGTCACGGCCATTGCCGTTCGAAAGTGCTGGAGACGCTGTAGTACATATGCCAGGCCTGTAAGTGGCGCTGTAGTCTGCCACAAAAGCAGCGAAGAAGACTTTGTTACCATGGTTACCCTTCTGTTTATTCTCCGCTGTGGCTTTTTTTCTCCCTCCCCGAGGCAAGCGTTTGCTCCCGCTGCAATGCAATCCCTCCCCGTCGAGGCAAGCACTGTAATTCTCTCCGGTTAGTCCACCAGCAGATGACAAACACCCACCTCTCCGCCTCTTCCAAGGAACGAGGGGACCGTGCGGCAGAGTTTCAGTTTCAGTTACTTTCGCCGGTTTCAAGATGTCCGTTAAAGTTTAAATCTTCCGGACAAAATTAGAAAAGTGCCGGTCAAAGGTCTTCTTTGTTATTTATTGAGCTTTAAAACAAATGAATAACGACTCTATATAATAAAACACGGAGGACGGAGATCTCTTTCTTTCTTTGATTTTTGAAATATTTGTGCTTGCGAATGTGTTTTGGCTGGTTTATGCTTTACTGTTCAAATCATATTGTTTTTCCTTCCCATTTCAAAGGTATTTTTTAGAAAAATAAGATTCTTCTTGTTACATAGAAGTCCGTTTTAGAACAGCTACCTCTGCTGGCAGAAGCTGAAAACTACAACAGCGCACTCTGCTGGTTGTACAGAATTGTTGCAGAATTACAATTATATGCTGAAGTTTATTTCTCATGTGTTATAGATAAACACATACTTCATCACACACAGATAGAATTACAGGTGGTTCCTGATTTTAAGATAAGAAACCTTACATAATAGTCTTTCAACCTAGACAGTAGAATATTCAACCACCATATTATTGAAGTAAACATAGTTTATGACATTTGCATAATCTCATGCACATACATTTTTATTTTTTACATTTCATAATTTTAATTATTAATTTACTTTATTAATAAAAAAATAAAAAATACAGATTTAAGGTTAAGTACTGTTAACTACTGATGACATAGGATACTTTTATAAAGGAATACAAAGGTACTATTCAGAGGATTAGTAATACATCTTTGATAACTTAGTAATTTCATCCTAGTATTTGAGAAACATGTCACCAAAAGACACAAAGTTAAGAGCATTCGCAGTGCCAGGCTCAACTGCAGATATCAAGGAAAGGGTAAACATCAGATCAGATGCTACAACATATGCAAATGATGGACAGAAGACATGGAACCAAATAGAGAAACTGTTTAAACAGTGGCAAACAAGAGGATTGATTCCAGCAGATGATCAACCTGGACCAACAAAAGCCCATAGAAGAGCAGTACTCGACTATGAACATGAACAATGCCTACAACAGCTAAATGTATGGAGGGAAGCTGAACAAAGGTTTATAAGAGTTACAAGTCTGATACTCCATCTGGAATATGCCAGCCTATTGACAGACAGCATAAATGTGGTCCGAATAGCAGACCTGCCAGTGAGGGAAGACATAGCAGAAAAAACAAAAGACGCTCGAGTTGTCCAAACTCCAAAGCTGTATCTAAGCCTGGCCGAAGTCCCTCCTCCCTCCCCAAATGTTGGATTTATAGGAGAAGTCTTGCAGTTGAATGGAGTCTCCACGGACAAAAGTGTCAAAGAATTGGAGTATGAAGTAAGAGTGCTAACCAGTAAATCCAAACAGCTGATGGAAGAGAACATACGATTAGAAGAAATCGCAGAAGAAAGACGACGAGAAAGAGAAACACAAAAGACAGAGCGGGAAGCACTACAACTAAGACTTTTGAAGATACAGGTAGCGGAGAAAGACACCGAGGCTTGTAGGAACAAGACAAGGAGAAGGGAGGAGAAGCTTTCAGAGATGGCCATAGAACCAGAGAAGGCAGGCCAGACACCTCCAACAATTCAAGCTCAGGAAGAACCAGAGAAGGCAGGCCAGACACCTCCAACAATTCAAGCTCAGGAAGAACCAGAGAAGGCAGGCCAGACACCTCCAACAATTCAAGCTCAGGAAGAACCAGAGAATGCAGGGCAGACACCTCAAACAGTTCAAACTCAGGTAGTGAGATTCAGGTTCAGAATCAACAAAGAGGTGGAAGACGTTTCCGGTTTGAGGGATGTTACTGTTGCAGCCAAATGGGCCATTGGTCCAGAGATTGTCCGCAACACAAGATGCTACAAGTACCAGAACATTGCACCACACAGCAACAAGCCCCAAACAACGGCCCTCCACACAGTTACCCCAGGGGAGGTTTCCATGACTACAACAGAGGCAGGGGGTCCCAGGGATGTCAAAGAGGAACAGGATGTCCAAATATGAATCAAATGCCACTGACAGCCTGGTATCATCCACAACAATGAGGAAGCTCAGAGGGCCAGACCACCAGGTGATGCATCTCCAGCCCAGAAGGACATTTTGAAATCCAGCCACATAGAGCCATATCTGTCACCACAGGGAGGAGAGGTGGAATGTTATTTTAAAAAATCATGACTAGCATATTGCATTTCAATATAAAACATCCACAGATTAGTAGAAGAACATTAAAACATAGTAGAACATTTAGCAGACTATTTTTGTAATTATGAGAAGGAAAGACATTACGAGTGATGTTGTTCCCCCACACAGAAAACTATTGTGTCCACACAGCTAGTGAGGTCAAGACGATGGGTTTTTCACCCAAAACATGAAGAGGAAAAACCTAGCACTCGCCCAAGAGGGAGGGTCTTCACCAAGTCCTCCTGTTTACACCGACTGCAGTTCAAGGGGCGAAGATACACCTGATGTGGAGTAGTGATGTGTCGGTCGCGAACGAGCCGGCTCAAAGAGCCGGCTCTTTTAAGTGAACGACGGGAGCCGGCTCGCGCCCGCGAACGAGCCGTTTTTTTGTTTTTGTTATTTTTTGTTAAGTAATACAAGACAGAATGATATGATGATCTCCGCGCTACAGCTGCTCCGTGCATGCATGCAGTGGCATGACATATCCAAGGATTAGAGACTGTTGGATGCTGCTGTTTTGAGCATTGCAATACATTTATTTGTATTATGTTTTTTTATGATTAGAGACGGCTGGATGCTGCTGTACTGAGCATTGCAATATATTTATTTTCACTATGTTATTTATTTATGATTATCCTTGGGCTCAGCAAAGATTTGATGTCAGCTGTTGCTGTCTTTTTTTCTATAGTTAATACGGAAATAGAGCCCTGCTGTTTTGTCAGGGCCTTTTCTTTAAATATAATTTTAAAATGTCGATACAGTAGCCCCTTTTTTTAAATGTCTATGCTTAAGTTTTTATAGGTGTTGCAATCTGCTTTGTGTAGCGTGGTTCTACAAGCAAGTCTGTGCATTCATTGGGTGGTATCAGAGAGATACTGTACAAGGGTCTGTAAATGCAATGAAAACAATTGGCCACATGCAGCAAATAATTGATATTAAACATGTAATTTTTACTTTTGAATACTTCAGTACAAAGGATGTATTGAATAATTTAAGTGATATGTGTACACATATAAATCATTAGTCAAACAGGGCTACATTTGATTGAATTATAAAAGGTATAATATGTGGTAAACTGAAGAGCCGTTTGGGAGCCGAAAGAGCCGGCTCTTCTTGGTGAGCCGAGCCAAATGATCCGGCTCACCAAGAAGAGCCGGAATTCCCATCACTAGTAACCGGTAACCTGCAAAAACGGCAGGTAATCATTTTTAGCACGCTAACATGATTGCCCGTTAACTTTGAA